CAGCCAGGCCGAGGAGGCTGCTCTTGCCAATGCACGGCCTGCCTCCTGACTGCCTGAAGGGCCAGCCAGGCCGAGGAGGCTGCTCTTGCCAATGCCGAAGTGTGCCAGGGGCTGGCGCTGCAGCATCTGCTGAGGCTGGCGTGGATACAGGCTAAGAATAGCCTGCTCCCGAAACCCTGGTTTGGTGCCTGAGTTTCAGGGCCGGTTGTTCTGGTGAACGACCGAAAATAGCCCTTTGTTTCAGGCTAAAAAGGCTCTTGCCATTTTTAGTTTGAAATGACACAGGGACTGTATGCTTTTTGGCCCTGTTTTCAGGCTGAATTCTAGGCTTTTTGGCTGAAGGGCGCATGGCCTGGAAAATGGCCTGCGTGTGCAGGCGCAGCATGTAACAGGCCATGAGATGCAGGTTCGTTCTCAAGACTTAAGGCCCCTCACTGCATCAACACCGATTCGGTTTCATGCCGGTCAGTACCGGTGGTTGTTTTACGAGCACCCGCCGCGCATGCCCATGCTCCCTACTCTCGGGTGATACATCTAGCTGCCGAGCATCTACCTAGCGACCTACGCCCTTCACTGCGTCAGCTCCGGTTCAGGGCTGTGCCGGTCAGTACCGGTCATTGGGCTAGCCGGGTTGTTGTACGAGCACCCGCTGCTCATGCCCGCATGCCCTACTTTATGGGTGATCCAGGTAATGGGTTCACTCAACATGCATCCTCAACACGTAGGACAAGACCCAAAGACTCATAGCAGCAGACATCAGATGCGACCAGATTGACATCAAGCGAAATGACTGATTGCAGCAGACGTCTCCAGGAAAGTTCAGGGATGATACTGCAACAAACCAAAAATAGATTGCATGAAAGACAAGGGCCAGGGCAAAAAGCACTTCACTTATCTTGATGGCGTCCTCTTGATGTCGCTCCTCAATCGCAGGTACGTGTGCCACTCACCCTTTTCAGGCCACTTCTACTTCAGCCCTCACTCCACTCAAACCCTGATGTTCTCCTGGATTTTTTTTTTTTTTTTTTTGCCTGCCGGCCTTACTCCTTGGCAGCGCTGCTTCTCCAAGCGGAGCCAGCTCCGATACCAGTGCAATGATTCGCAAGTCAATCACCCTCAACCTTGCACATACATGCAATGAGCATCCAGATGAGTGTTCACACTTGGAACCGATGGCCGAGACAAGAATCTCACGAGAGATTGATACACAAAATATCTTTATCATACAGAAAAAGAGTTCAGGTGTCTTGCGGTCTCTGCCACTGACACAGACTCAGCCTTGATTCAGGTATGTAACCGTCTGCCCCTCTCCCTCTCTCTCTGCTCTCTCTCTCTCTCTCTCTCTGGTCTTGTATCACTCAACCTCTCTCTCTCTCTCCCTCTCTCTCTCTCTCTCTCTCTCTCTCTCTCTCTCTCTCTCTCTCTCTCTCTCTCTCTCTCTCTCTCCTTCCTTGGATCGTGCCCAGAATACACTCTCTCAGTTCGGACTCAGACCTTGGCGGCTATGGCGGCCCTGCTTCCTTATCACTACCCTAGCTATGGCTGTCGTCGACGTTCCCTTCTTCTTTGAGCGTTGTCTTGCCCAAGTCGCTTGGTCACACAAGCAGCAGTAGCGCTTCCACAACTTCACGAATGAACAACTGTGTTCGTTGCTGCACTGTAGCAGCTAAATATAGGAACTGGACTTGGCTTGCCCTGCCTTGGACCGGTACCGGTCAGCCGCGGCCTGTCTGTTGCAATCATTTTGTCGGTCTGGAAGCTTCCCGGACTTTCCTGGGACTTGCTGCAATTTTGTGGAACTGGGGATTGGACTTGGACTTTCTGGACTTTTCTGTGGGGTACCGGACTGGCTGTACAACGATGCCTTCTAGACTTTTTCTATCGGGTACTGGACTGGCTGTATGACGACCCGACTTTTCCCGATGTTCCCAACGTAGACCTACGACACTTGTTGGACCTACCCCACGTGACATTGGGACTTCGGACTTCAGAACCTTCTGGAGTTTTGGGGATTTGGTGCCGGCTTTCAGTGGTCTGCAGCGTGAAATCCTTTCAAGAGATTCAATCCAATGGTGGTGATGGCCCATCTTTCAAAATGCTTGGTTGATGTTGATTTTGTGGGGAAAAAGAAAAACAATCCGTCAAGTCGATCGATCAGCGTAATCATTCATTCAATGAAATCCAGCATTCAATCCACCATGTAATCAATCAATCATTCGATCAATCAGTCAATCAATCAATCAATCAATCAATCAGTCGATCAATCAATCGGTTGGCCGATCGATTAAGCAATGATGCATGCAAACGAGCTATTCATCTGCCAATACAGTCCAATGATAAACATGGCTCCCTGGGTGTTTCAGCACCCTTCTTTTGGTTTATACCCTTTGGTCGTTGTTTGCGAAAGTGTCACTTTTCCAAACTATGTGCACTGCCTATTCTTGGCCTCCAAATATTCCAAAACCAGTCCCATTTTCTCCAACTACGTTCATGGGATAGAGACTCTGGGCCTATCTAAAATATATATACACCACGGGACTGTGTACATGCATTAGGTATATAGTATATACTATAAAGTGAATGTAGTATATGCAAAATGTGCAGGATAAGCTTGTGTTTTATCTATATAGTTTTCAAATAGTTTTGCTGTTTGACTGGTCTGCCCCGCCCAGCTTTTGGCATACCTAGAAGTTGAACGTGGAAATTGGGTATAATTTCTGAAAATGCCCCTCATAATTGTTTTTTTTTTTCATTGTTCGGTCACAGACATGTGCGACATCCCTGTCGCCTTCGGTTCGCGCGGCACTGTTACAGATGACACGCAGATGGCACTTTTCACGATGGAGGGGCTGATCTGTTACTTAAAGGACAAGTTCTCTGTGACATCTGACAAACGACAGCTGAACGTCAACGTCAGAGATGTGGCAACTGGCCTCCATCAATCTTATCTGAGGTGGATTCACACGCAGGGGCTCAATTCCAGCCACAATCTGTTTCACAAGGTGAGGGACAAAGGGTGGTTGATCCAGATACCGGCTCTACACAAGCGGCGGGCCCCTGATGACACGTGCACGAGGGCGTTGACGACGCCAGGAGGAAATGGGGGAGGAGGAAAGACGGCGCTGCCGGGATACGGGCGGAGGAAGGGGTGTGGGGGAGTGGTTCGCGCAGCACCAGCGGGTCTCGTGGTTCATAGCGCATTCCCTCTCCTCCCCTCTCATGAGAAAGCTGAGCTGGCGTTCCAGCTTGGCTGCCATGTGGCATCCGTTACGCACGGTCATCCCTCGGCGGTTCTCCCCGCCGGCATGCTGGCCGCCATCATCTCTAGAATCCTCTCGCGAGATTCTCTGGCCGGGGCGATAATGAACAGCGTGCAGTTCTTGCGCCGGGAGAGCGACAACCAAGAGACGTTGTTGGCGTTGCAGAAGGCCTGTGTGCTGGCCGATGACCTGATACTCCATGGCGGATTATCAACAGATGCCGACCGACAGAAGCTAGCGATGGAGCATATTCATCAGATAGGGGAGGGATGGGAGGGACACGAGGCTCTTGCCATTGCGGTTTACTCTTGTTGTGCATCATGCAACGACTTTGGGACAGCATTATACTATGCTGTGCGACATCGAGGTGACTCTGACTCTACGGGCGCCATCGCCGGCAACATCATGGGAGCCTTGTTGGGAGAGAAATCCATTCCAGAAAGATGGAAATCTCAGATAGAGTTGACGTACGTGCTACGTGAGGTGGCCGAGGATCTGACCCTGATTGCGGAAAAGAGTAGACAGGAAAACTGGGAAGAGAAGTATCCGACACCACTCGGTGTGGTGAGGAGCACTGCTCCTCCAAATCTGCACCCCGGTTCTCGTTGTCATCTGTACATGCCATCCCACTAAATTTACACATTTTGTCACCCACACACACTCAAGCACTCACACTGCACATACACACGCACACACACACACACACTCACACACACACACACACACACACACACACAGACTTGTATAGCAAACATGGCAACTCACACAAACACACAAATGAACACACACACAAACACATCTATATGTATGGAGCACAAAGTACAACAAACAGGAACACCGCCGACCAGATGGTTAACTTCATTTCGTCCTCCACAGCTTACTCTTTCTTCGTCTACTTTTTCTTCTTCTTCTTCGTCCTTGTCCTGTCACTCTCTTCCTGCTTCAGGCCTGATTGCTGAATTTGCTGCCATCCCCAAAATCGATTTGACTGGCCGATCTTCTTCTTTTGCTTGCGCCTTCTTTTTCTTGCTTTTCTTCTTCTTTCTCTTACTATCGTCGTTGTCTGGGCATCGCCGCCATCATGCCCAAACAATGAATATGCCGGGTGGATGATCAAGAGATTCTTCTTCTTCTTCCTCTTCTTGGTCTTGGTCTTCGTCCTCGTCTTCGTCTTCGTCTTCGTCTTCGTCTTCGTCCTCGTCCTCGTCCTCGTCCTCGTCTTCGTCTTCGTCTTCGTCTTCGTCTTCGTCGTCGTCACCTTCTTCGTCTTCATCTTCATCTTCGTCTTTGTCTTTGTCTTCGTCTTCGTCTTCGTCTTCGTCGTCACCTTCTTCGTCTTCATCTTCGTCTTCGTCTATGTCTTCGTCTTCGTCTTCGTCTTCGTCTACGCCTTTGTCTTCGTCTTCGTCTTCGCCTTCGTCTTTGTCTTCGCCTTTGTCTTCATCTTCGTCCTCGTCTTCGTCCTCGTCATTGTCCTCGTCTTCGTCCTCTTCTTCTTCTTCTTCTTCTTCTTCTTCTTCTTCTTCTTCTTCTTCTTCTTCTTCTGCTTCTGCTGCTGCTGCTGCTGCTGCTGCTGCTGCCCCACCTCTGCCTCCACCACTGCTCCCGCCGCCTCCTTCGGCGTCGGCATCACCGTCAGCATCCTGCTGTTTTCCTGTACGCATCATCGCTGCCATGCTAGACTGATGATGTGTGAAATCCATCCTCTTGCCTGGGTTTCCTACGGAAGCCCCAGATGTCACAAGTCCACCGTGATGCTTCCATCTTGTGCAGTGCAATTGTACTTCCTCGTCATTTTCTTGCATCCTTACCTAGTTTTTTTTTTTTACCCAGTTGTTTTCTCTGTTTTTTCTGGTGGTGCCTTTTTTTTCCCTTTCTGTTGTACGGACTCTCATGTGTTTTCCCCTATTTGTTCGTTTTTTTCTCATGTGGTCAAGACTCAAGACGCCCGTTACTTCAGGCAACCCTCAGTGACTGCCCGGAAGTATCATCCTGTGCTATGAGAAGACCTTGAACAATAAAGCTGTTTTTATTTCAGAATCTATTCTTTCAAAATCAATTTTATTCTGGCATAATTTACGGTCTGACCGAGGGGAGGACATGGTGACTGTGGATCAGCAGTGGGCTAGTCGCAATGACGGACTTTCTGTTTCTTTTCCCCCTTTTTGTTTTAATGTTCTTCATGAATAATGTGGGTGTCTCTGGCCCCCTGCCACCCACTCTCTAGTATTTGAAGAACAGGAAAGCAATGAGGGGAGGCAGGCAGGATTTTGTTGAATGGCCGGGACGGCACTAATGACCAGCTCAACGGATGACAACGAGGAGCTGGAGGGATGGAGGAGGGTGAGTGCAAAAAGGGGTTGGTTCAGTGCTGCAGCAGTGCTGCAGCAGTGCTGCTATAAATTTCGGCAGGTTCTGTGTAGCAAACAAGAACGGGGCTAATGTAGGATGGCTGGTTTACGTGATTAACGTGATGAGGCAAGTATGCACAGCAGCTATGGAATGAAAGCCATTCGATGGATTTACGTTTACGAAGTGGAGAGAGCATAAGTCGGGTAGGTTGTGTTCGTGGAGTCTCCAGGAGCAGGGAGAAGTGTAGGAGGCACATTTCAAGAGGAGGCCCTTCCGCGCACGTGTGCTTCACGCCATATCAACCACACTTTTCCTTTTCTTTTCTTTTTATTTGGACGCAAAGGACGTGACACTATTCTTCTAGCTTCAGTTCTTATTGCGTTTCAACTTTCAAGTATGCATGGTGACTAGTTCCTTGTTCGGACAAACTTCGTGCCCTGCATGCTCTGTCAAGGCTGATTCAAATTTGATTATTATTGATGTGTATCGGTATTATGATGATGATGTCATTGATATGGTGATTCCATAGTAATTGCAACTATCTACTTTGAGTGCTTTGTTGTTGTTGTTGTTGTTGTTGTTGTTGTTCTTCTTCTTCTTCTTCTTCCTGTATTTTTCTTTTTCCCCTTCTATTGTTAGTTAGGAACGGAGAGCTCTATGCTTACGACAAGGAAGGAAAAGGTGAGACCTTGTCCTGTTCAAGGGGGCCCAGAGGTTCGCCCCGCCCCCTCCAAGCCACTGCATTCAGAGGGTGTTTGCCGATGCCCGATTAGGGTAAGCAGATAGGGTATAGGGTATAACATACACTAGCGAAGGAATTGAATTGATGAGAGGCAGTGGGACCTTGGGAGCAGTAGTTATTGAAGACTCAACAGTTTAGACTTGAAAGCTAGGCTATTTGGATTGCCTGGCCATGCAGCACGACCGTGCAACCTGGGCAAGTCACGTGGGTGTCACCTGGGCAAGTCACGTGGGTGTCACCTGCACGGGGCACCCCATGCAGGCAAAAACCAGCCCTCTTTTTCTTTTGTTTTGGGTGAAGGTTTTCTGAGCATGGCCAGAGGAGCCCGAATCCGGGTTGCTTTCTTTTTTTGAGCATTGGCTGTTAAGAGGGGGGGAAAGCGGGGTATACTTGGGTTTCAAGGGGCTAAAGGCGCTGAAAGGGGCGTGCCTTAGTCTGTTTCTGTTGTTCTCTCTTTTTTCTTTGATTCCGTGAGGAATTCTGATGTGACCCTCTGCCAAAAGTCGTTTGTATTGCAATTCTACACGACGTTTTTTTTTCCCAGGCAATTTTCAAATTTTGTTAAAAGCTTTTTCTTTATTTGTTGGGTGTTGGGGGTGCCCGTCACCCTGCCCGGGTTTTCTTGCCCGGTCAGGCACACCACACAACTTTTTCTTTTTTCTTTCAGGGAATTTTCAAATTTTGTTAAAAGCTGTTTCTTTATTTGTTGGGCGCTGGGGGTGCCCGGCACCCTGCCCGGGGTTCATGCCCGGTCAGGCACCTGGGCATGTATCCGGGCACAAGCTGGGTCCTTGTGCGCACCCAAAGAACCTGTCTCTTATACACATCTAGATGTGTATAAGAGACAGCTTTTGCACCCGGACAAACAGCCTACTAGCTTAAAAGCCATAAGATAGGGTATAAGAGTTTCTGCCAAAGATCTGGGTGCGTAATCCCATATTCAGACTCAGTAGGAGGGAGTTTTTGATGGGCTCTGAGCACGGTCAGATGCTGGATGGAGAAATTGTCACGTCGAGCGCCAGAAATGTCTGAGCTCGGCAGACTGAGAGAGGGCCCGTACTCAGACTAGAATTCCATGGAGTGGATCTAGCACTGCTAGCATGAGCACACGTATTACCTCCTCAACCCGAAAAAAAACGCTTGTACCTTGTATACGAATACACAATATGGGGTACGTTGTATTCGAATACAACCTAGGCTACCAGCCGGCCCCCCCGGGTCACCTTGTTTTCCCGAGCGGCCCGGCCGTGCATGGACCAGGGATGGTCCCAGCAAAAAAAAAAAAAAAAAAAAAATCGAGAAAAAAACTATGTTATGCCAGAAAAATAAACTGAGCAACGCTTGCCTCAGGATCACCTCGAAATTATGTACCAAATTGATGCTAATCGAGGCTGGATCGCCACTATGACTGGCGCGCCAGCGCTCGGTCGTAATGGCGCCTGTCTTCGACAGGCCTAGTTGACGATGGGATTTCCAACGTGGAAGGACGGTCGTAGGTGATGTCCCATCTTCCTTGTCTTATCAAGGAACTATGGCGGAGGCCATAGTTGGTGGCTTCAGCAACAAGTTTCCCTGGTCCTCGCCCTGAATTGTCACTCTCTTTACTATCAATTCGTACGAAGTTCCCTACAGGTGGTTTATGCGTAACTTAATCCGCTATAGAAGGAAGTAGCATTTTAGGCGAGCTGTAGTACGCCAATCAAGATGGAGATCGAGTCCCCTCACCAGGTGGGTGGCGAGTCGAGCGCGAGGAGCCAAGTTCCAAGTGATTATCGTTTGGAGGAAGAGAGTGTCATGGAGATGGTCAGAGCTTGCTATGAGGAGGGTTTAGTACCAACGGATACTGACCCGGGAGTCATGGAAGTCAATGGAAGAGAAGTTGTGAGGATTGAGCCCTCAAGAAGGGGCCTTGCCATGATGTACATGTTCTGGGCTAAGGGCCCAGCAAGCCTAGTGCCCGCCCTAAGTGAAGGTGGGCCAGCAAATCAACAAGAGCCCTCTGTGCAAACATTTCCCGAAGTGGGGTCCATACAGTTGCAGCACGCCAGTTGGTTGGAGTGCACCGAGTCTCGAATCTCTGCAAATGTGGAGATCCCAGGGCCTCTGAGTTAGTTAGGCCCTGGGCACTTGAACGTGAGGCCGACAATGCATGCTGGGTATAGAGGCCGAAAATGCCAAAGGGAAATCGGCCCACTATCTGAATCTGGCCGCAGGCTTTGACGAAAGAGGCACAACCGGAACCCCCCCCTCAACTGCATCGGGCCTGGTTTCAGGCACTGGGGCCCAGTCGCAGGCTGAAGGGAGGTCGCCCACACGCAGCACTGGCATATAGGCAAGCAGGGCGAGTGGGCAGGGATCTTGGCCAATGCGGGCATTGCGGGCACGCTGCACGAATGCGAGGTGCTGCGCTGGGATGAGACAGGCTAGCGCTAGGCGGTAGGGCGCTGCCCTTGTACTGGGCGCCCTTCACCTCCGAAGAACAGCCTTCGAACCAACCCTATGGTAATGTTCTGAGATTGGTTAGGACGGATGATGAGCAGGGGAAGTGGATCTTTGCTGGGGTGATGATTCACATGTATGGTACATCTTTACGGACTGTGGCCATCGTTAAAAATGCTGTTAGTCTTTGCGAATCTGGCCAGTTGGTGTATGGTGGTTTCCAGGATTTTGAATCGTATTCTGGAAAAAAGGCTAAGCCGGGAGCTATCCTTAGTACGCTGCACCGGATCTTCCGGCTTTCCTCGGATGTTTGGGGGAAGCATGAGTCTCTCCTGGCAGTCAAGAGAGAACTCTTGGTTAGGCATTACCCACCCAGGTTGATCTCTGAAGTTTTCACTCGGTTCGCTTCTAAAATCGGGGGATCTGCTCCTGATATAGTGGCTTTGTGTCTCTGATTTGGGGCTTGGCTTTTTGCCAAGCAGGCCTCATGGCCCGATGAGGAGAATGGGTTGATCTAATCATTCCCCGTTGTTCCAAAGGCGTGCCTTGGTACCTGTGGTTCTTGGTGAAAACTTTACCGATGGGCTTTCACGATTATGGTCCCGGCGGGAGATAGTAGGAACACTTTGTGACCGTTTAATGTATCCGACTGCTTTCGTTCGATATGTCCTTCCTCTTAGGTACCCTGCGAACCATTGGGGACCATTAGCGGTTGGTCTCGGACTCGGTTTTTGTGTTTTGTTATGCGCCATGTACCAGGCAGGTTTTCTCTTCCCCTTACCTATAGGGTGTATGTATGTAGTGCGAATATCGGTTTTGTACTGTTTTGCCTGCTGACAGCGACCGTTTCAAGGAACTTTAGGGATCCAGAGTGCGGTCCAGAGGGGATTTCCGGTAGTGCCCTTACATTTTGAATGTTTCTAGTTGGCCTTCCGACCGGGTACCTGGTTGATGTCGTGTATGCCTGATACCGGGTGCTCGGAGCTTCGCCCGCGGTCATTTAAGGTGAGCTGAGCTCTGTTACGATCTCTCACTCGTGTACTATCACGAATGTGTGAAGGCGGTTGGGTTGTGCGTTGGCTGCGGCGCTGGCTGAGGGCAGCAATGGCAGACTGAGAACACCACGGGTGTTGTACGCGGGCTTGCACGATCTCGGCGCTGTGCTGTACGTCGAAAATTCCTTGTGCCACTACTCGAATGTCTGTTTTGATGATGCATCACTCTTCGGTATCGATGCTCCGCTTGGAGAAACCGAGGGTTTCGATGGGCTTTGATCGATTTGCCTCTGCTGGCATGATGGAGCAGGGGTATGTCTCTATGGATCGCTGGCAGGAGTTCTGGTGTAAGCATACTCGGGAGGTGAAGGTAGGTGTAGGATAGCAGTATAAATACGAGGCAAGGCTTTGGTAAGGCCTCGTGCTTCCTAGTGGATGGGAGGCATAGTTGGAGGGTGTACTCTGAGGGATGAATCCCCCTGAAGAGTCTAGGGGCGGCATAGGCGAAACGCGTCGGGGAATGACCTCGTTTATGATTCTGTATTTCCACTTATTTCGCTGATTCGGAGATTTCACTGTGTATGCTTTCTCTTGTTGAGATTGTGTATGGTTTCAACTTTTGGCGTGCGTAACGGAATGTCTGTATGGGTGTATCTTACTCCTCCGTTCTCATGCTTAAGCAGTCTTGCCGGGCTGTGTCTTTCTTCTCTTCTTCTTCTTGGGAAACGCAAGAGGATGGCATCGAATGCCCGTGAGACAAGTATGAAGGCTGTGAACGGGGCAATGCATGATCACACCGCTGCCGTTACACGGTCAGACCGAGAGTGCGCGAAGTTGAGGTGTGACACAACACTTGACATTGCAGTCAAACAGATGGCAGTCCACAGAGAAACTGTGGGCAAGGATATTGCTGCACGTGAGCGGGTGGCCACCATTGGCTTCGACAAGATGGAGAAGGGCTATGTCTACCACGCCGACGCTATTCGCAGCTTGCGTGGACCTCGCAAAAGCCGCACTTTGGACGACTCGCAGGGATCCGGTTCGGAGTAGGCATAGTTGTCTTTGTAATTTAGTGCTGCGATTTTCTTACTAGGGTGCCATACATGGATGTGTGTGTGAAGGTGGCAGTTTTTTGTATCCCCCTTCCAAACGTAGTGGAGAGGATATCTGTAGTGAAAGGCGGTCATTCAGGGTGCTGGCCGGTTTTGTGACTCATCGTCTCAGGTTTGTGACTTAGGTTGTGAAAGCGAAGGTCCGGGTTTAGACACCGGCGAAGGATCCCCAGCCCCCAGCCCCCAGCCCCCATCCACCGGTTTTGTGACTCATCATCTCAAGACACCGGCGAAGGATGACCCAACCGGCCTTAGCTAACGCGAGATTTCAGATACGAGGGCGAAGGATCCCCAGCCCCCATCCACCGGCCTCAGCTGAAGTGAGATTTCAGATACGAGGGTTTAGGGTTCAGGGTTTAAACAGAAGGGACATCCCCAGCACCCGTGCACGGGCCTCAGCTAAAGCGAGATTTCAGATATGTAAAGACACATGTACACCGTTCTGTGTCAACCGTATATGAACACCATTCAAGCAGTA